GCAGCAGATCCTCCACCCAATGTCTGTTGAGCTTGAGCAAGTCCTCCATGTTTGTGGATCTCCTTGTGCAACTCAGGTGCCTGCAAGATTGAATTTTAATGTACAAGATTCAGCAAAATTTGTCAAGTAAATTTAAGTTACATGATGATTAGTATGGGATTCCTTGCCAAATCTTTTAATAAACTACGATAAAGAATTCCATGTTATCTTCCAGCCATAACACCGATAGACATTAAAAAAAATAAAAAAATAAACCATGCCTTTCCATTTATGCAGCACAGACACCTCTGATAGAACCGTTAACTGCGACTATGTAACTTTTCCTATATTTTATCACTTCCATATAAGTGACCAACACTTCTCAGTCATGCCAAAAAATTTAATTGCCTGGTACTGCCCTGTTTCAAAATTCTTTATTATTCTTTGACATCTAGGCACTTCCGGGATTCTTCCGTACAATTGTAGATACAAATTCTAACCTACACCTAGGGTGTGTTTATACATGGGGCAGGACGGGAAAAACAGAACGAAAAATTGTTGTCCCATGTTTGGCACAACATTAGACTGGGACAGGATGGGACCGAGTGGAACAAAAACAAGGGAGATAAGTCAAAATTGGTAAATTAGTAAACTACCCATTTCAAATTAAAACCCTAAAACCTTTTGCAATTCTTTCACCGCCTACCTCACTCTCACCTGTACAGTCCCGTCCAGTTCTGTCCGCGTACCAAACACACCCCTAAAGTATAGTACAAGTTGATGGAGTTGAAGAGGAGGGAATCAATGAATCTGGTCTTTTGTCAAGGGTCAGATCCTGGTTCAGAACTCCATAAAAAATCCAGAGGTGCACAAAGCACAAGCCATCACAACATGATTGTTGTGGCAAAGGATATAGCTTTGCGACTAGTTCTGGTCATCCGGAACATAAGTTACATAAACGTGGATATAAAAGAATTATGTTGCAGCCTTGGTGGTTGGTATACAAATTAATTATGTGTGAAAATGTGCAATACACATATATAAGGTATAATTCCTTATGCCCAAGTCATGCCAGAAATCAACTTCTTAAAGAAGAGATGAATCAAYATGGCATTGCTACATAGCTTTACACATAAACTTGATCTCATATAGGAGTTTGTGGAGAGACATGACTGGGGTAGCAGATTTTGTGCAAGGACCGGTGGTTATTGGGGTTAGAAAGAGGCGGATGGGAGTGGTAGCAGGTGGGTTGGGGGAGGGTTAGGCAGCCCACAACTAGATATCAAAGTCCGAGGATAAGTTGGTGGAGTAGTAAGGAGTAGTTTTTATGCAAGTGTTATCAGGAAGGGTTTTTTTTGCTCATTCTCTTGTTAGGCTGTTTTGTTGTTTCCTACATTGCCTTTTGCTTTAAAAGTCCTTACTTGTTTTAATCTTATCTGAGATGAGATGCCATATAACTTAATCCTCATCTAAGCAATTGCAGTGGGCATGCTTAAGTGAAGCGAGACACATATAGTGAGAGACTTGTCAAGCTGGTGCTGCATTTTGAAATTTCSCTCACAAARGAATGCTTTAAATAGTCAATCAAAACACAATGTTGAAATTAACAGCTAGTGACTAATAGCAGGTCTACAGAGGATAGCCATCTTTTAAGGCTGCTGGGAAATTTGATTAATTGAGCAGAAAATCAGAATGACCAATTTAAGAGTTAACATTGAGTACACAACTTCTTAACTGCCAAATGGGTAATTTTGCCAAGAAATATATTACATTTTCTAACATATAACAATATTAGCAAGACACCTAACCTAGAACAACTGATAAGAAACCACAAAGAGAAACAAGTTAACAAATTTAGTTGAATACCTTAGCACATGATGCCAAAGATTATTGGAGATAATGTTCATTCCCAGGACACTGAGACAATACATTTCATCAAACATTCACAATCAGATCTAATGAGTATGCTGGGAGAATTTAAACTTTTGAAGATTGTAATGTGCAAGCAAAGGAATAATACCTCTTCTACAGCCTTTTCGAAACATTGAAATGCTTGCTCAAACTGAATCTTAGCCTCATCATGGTCCGGGGTTAGAAAAGCGTTAGCAGTGTGGGCATTCCCTAAGCACCACAGAGCCTCATGTTTTGCAGGATTGATAGCCAATGCCTCGTCCAATTTTGACACARCATCTAAATTTTGTTTATTTATTGTGAACCAAATAAAAAAGTTTTTAGCAGATTGTTTTAATGTAAAATAAAGATCAAAAACAGAATGAAAACTCCTAACAGAAACAGCATCATTTTCCCGTAGTATAGAGATTTAATAAGCATTAGCAACTGCAACAATACCTTGAAGCATCTTCTTTGATTCCTTGATATCTCCAAATTGGGAKAATTCCAGCAAAGCTCCACCCCATCTTGTTAAATTCTGTTATGATATAATATGTCATTTCTGTCTCTAAGATGCAAATGCTTGAGTTTTTTGACAAAGAGAAAAAGGCAATAATTATCACATGTGGTCATTCTTTAACAACAACTAATAATGGATATCAATTGCTAAAGAGTAATCAATGAATTCATTAGTAGATGCTACAGTCTCCATTTCTTTGCATTACAGATATAATTGTTGTATCACTAGACCCTTAACCACTTAAAAATTTTGGTTTAGTAAAAAGTAGCACCACCAATATTTTAATTTACACCAATGTACTAAAGAAAATATTCTGAGTGTTAACTTTTTCTGTCTTTCATGGAATAATGAAATTACTTCTGTCAATAATCTTAAGCAGCATGAGGTTGATTGCATATTTGCATGGTACATGTAGATTAAGGATTCCATAAGTTATCCTACAAATAGAATTTCCCACAAAGAAAGACGCCAGGTATATTATATTTCTTTTGATCTCCAACTCACATATTCTTCAAATAGTACCCATCAAATATGCATCAAGGAAACTACTAGTAATATTTTCATTTTAAATTTCATCAACTCAAAAAAAAATCATTAAAAAGGAACCACCAGAGCTATTATCAACTGCACAGCCCAAAATTCGATCCTTTGACCATAAAAATCTATCTAATTTCAATATAGATGATGAATTATTATCCAATTATGCAAATTTAGATTTGCATGACGCATATAAGCAAAGATCGTTTCACTAAGGACGAAATCAATCAATGTCAATAAGTACATATAGCATCGATTCATAACCAATAGAATGAATTATTATCAAATTATGCAGATATAGATTCGCATGATGTATAATTGTATATAGCAAAGATCGTTTCACTACGGACGAAATCAATCAATGTCAATAAATACATATAGCATCGATTCATAACCAATGACACCTATAGATATATGTGTGTGTATATATATATAGAGAGAGAGAGAGATGTACATCTGCATCAGTGGGATTCTTGGCGTATTCTGCTTCGGCGTTCATGCGAGCATGTTCGAAGATCATGAGCCTCTCTAAATCGATTTGAGCAGCGTCCATTGTTACTTGAACTAAACCTGGTAGAATTGCTTTCTGATGCCAAAACCGTAGAATACCCGCTAGGGTTTATGACAAGCAGTAAAGGAGTGGAACTATGGAAGAGGGGAAGGGGGTTGGCGTTTGTAATTCAAGGGTGTGTCATTGACTTATTTTGTTGCACCATCCGTAATAAATAATTTATATCGATGTTAAATCGGTAATAAAAAGTTTTTGAATAAGTTAAACTGTTCCAATTTATAATAAATTAATAAGTATTTTTATAAAAAAAATATAAATTATTTCAATAAGTTTTTTATGTTTTTATGTTATCTATATACAAAGTTTTTTTATGTTACATCAATGACATATTTTTATGTTATCTATATACAAAGTTTTTTTCATGTGACAAATGAAAAAAAGCTATAAAATCATACAAAACAATATTAATCGTTGATATGTTTTAATAAATTAGAAGGGTACTAATGCAATACAACAAAATATATCTCGATTATTAATGTTTTATTTTATTTTTTTGGTCTCTGTCGATATTATAATACGAATTTATGTGATTTTGAGTAAGTAGTAATGTTTTTCTTAATATAAATTTGAATACATAATAAAAATTATATATATATATATAGACCCTATATAGACTTGGGATAGACCAAGGGTTTTTTGTGAGACTCATAAGACTAATTCTCAACCATTGGATTAGTTCTACAATCTGGATATTCATAATCACAAAATTGTCATGAGACTTCTTAATAATCACAAATTTGACACCGTGTAACTTTAGACCATTAGATCATTAACTTATAAAATTGATCAATAAACATAGATTGGTCTTACGGGCCTCACGTAAACTCAACCTCTCTATATATATATATATATATATATATATATATATATATATATATATATATATATATATAT